CATAAAAATAAGCCAGCAATCCTTGAGTGAAAGCCCAGGATCCGTGGCTGTTCAGGTGTGGGGGGCTGAGCTGGTCCTCTTGCCTGTCTGCAGCACAGATGTTACCCTTGATGAGGAGTGCAGACAGTCCCCAGCTTGTGATGGACCACTTAGAGGTTTCCAACCTCAGGGTGGTGTGAAAGCATTACACCTACAACAGAAACCATCCTTCTGATTTTAGATAGTGCTCATTCAATAGCTAGCGACATGCACTGTGGTCCTCTTGAGGTTTTGGACAGCGGAGGTGACCTGCAGCTCCCAGTGAGCCAGCTACCCTAAGGGGAAACAGCCCCACTGTGTAGTAGACTGCTTTGCCAAACAGCAAGCTCGGTAGGTGCGGTGTATTTGGTACATTTTCCACAATTTAGGGATTTCCTGTTTATCTCTGCGAGGACAGAGGAGGACATGGAGCTTCAGACTTTCCCCAAACCTAGACCTAACCTGAGAGCCTGGAGTTCAGTACGGGACCAGCTGTTCTCCACACATCTCCACTCCCCAGGAATGGAGGTGCAGTAGGTTTGCAGCTCCCAGCGCCTGACCTGCGGGTGCCTTGGCTTTCCTGAAGCCCAGGGCCAGGAAATAGGCAGCGGGAAGAGCCAGGAGGGGATGGGATCATGGTGTGTACTGCCGCCAGCTTGAAGGAGAGCAGGCTGGAACTTCGGGTACTTAGGCAGCCTCTAGGAGTTCCATCCCATCTGCACCACGCTCTCGGAGGCTGGGACTTGCCCTGAGAAGGCAGAGAGGCAGGAGCAAAGAGTACTCTAGGGAGGCAAAAACATTTTGTTTTTGAGCCTTCTAGGTCTATGCAAAATAGGAAATTCCTCAACTCTCCTGAGGCAGCCAGCTTTCCCGACTAGCCCAGTGAGGAGAATGAGATAGGTCTATGCATTTCCAATACAAGGCCACCCAAGCCCACTCTCAGGGTCTCCAGCAAGGTCCCCTGGCTGCCCTCCATCAAAAACAGTAGGGCCTGAACTGGGGCCCTCATCGTGTTGCTGGAGACCCTGGGGTTTGGCTGTCCTGACTTCTCCTGGGCTTCTCCTCTTGCTCCAGTGGCAGTACGTGCTCTGGAGGAAGCTTCCCTTACCCCTTGGGCTGTCCCAGTCTCCTTTCTCAGTCTTTGAGGCTGGAGATCACTGTAGTGAGCCTGATTTTGTTTTTACTGGTTATAGATAAAAATTCAGTATCATGTGTAGAGTCAGACCTTGCCCAGGTAAGGAAACTGTGCTCAGGTTCTCAGGCATCCTGGAGAAGCCTGGTGTTTGTGGCTCTGTGCTGATAGAAACCCAAAATACCAGAGTCACTCTAATACTGATTTTAAGTTAGAGATACCCTAGCTGCATTAGCCTGTTTTCTGTTGTCATAACAAAATACCTGAGGTGGGGTGATATGTGGACGAAAAAGACCTATTTCAGCTCAAGGCTCTGTAGGTCTAAGAGTACAGCTCTTTCACCTTCTCTGCTCCTCCTGGTGTGGCATGTCAGGGTCTAGAAGTAGGAAAGGAAGTGGCATGTGTGGCAGGACTATGTGTGCAAAACAGACAAAGGGAGTTGCCAAGCTCATTGTAGAACAATCCTCCATCATGATAGTTATCCCAGATCCATAAGACCCAACTCCTGAGAGAATTAATACAGTATCAAGAACTTTATCCAGTCCCTTGAGGCCACACCTCCAAACACAGCCACATTAGGGATCACATTTCAACATCCTGGGCCAGATGTGTAGCTACGGTAGAGCACCTACCTAGTACGTCCGAGGCCCTGGGCTCAATCTCCAGTACCACACACACCAAGAAAGTATGAAAATATTTTTTCAGCATGAGTTTAAATGGGTTTGAACCATATCCAAACCATAGCACTAACCTTCCTGGTTTTAAACCTGTACCCACCCAAACCAAAAAATCCAGAAGACATTTATTAAAATTCAAAGCCAGCTGGTTCACAAGACAAGTGGAAATATGGACATTGAGCATCTCTGGGCTTGTCCTCTACCAGGTCTGACCTGCCTGAGAAGGAGATAGACCTTCATCTCCTTGGAGGAGGGTTGAAGCCCAGCTTGGAGAGGAATCCCAGGAGAGGCAATAAAGCCTTTCTGTGGCCTGTCTCCCCAGAAGACTGCACCAAGAAAGTCTCTCTGTTTCTGTCCTTTATGAGCTGGTGCACAACCTCCCTCTGCAATAGATTGGTCTTTTTCTACCAGTCTTTGGTCAGGTGTTATTAATACTATATTTCTCTGACAGTAAGACCAGGTCTTATATTAATCTTTGGCCCAAAAAGAGCTTATCTTTAGGAGACGTCTTATTTCTCATATACAGTGATCTGCATTTATTCAGGTGCAACGTTCTACATTTCTTCATGTACAAAAGTCTGCATTTATTCGTGTACCAAAACATATTTGTTCAAATACAACCTTATCTTCTTCTGGAACATCGTCATAGTTTCCACACCCCAATTCATGGCCTGAGTGTCTGGTGACTCCATTTCCTGTAGACCCACTGGCCTGCTCTCTCATATCCAGCAACAGAGCTCTCTAAATGAGCACCTCTCGTCCACGCAGCCTGCTCACAGTGCATTGGGACCACAGTGGGCAGTGACTTTAGCCCCTGAGTTCTTCACCCAGGTCACGACCCCTTGCAGGCTGGGCTTCACAGGGTTTCCATTAACTCAGGTGTCAGCTGAAGCCTTAGGGGACAGGAGTGGCGACAAGAGTGATGGCAGGTAAGGGATGATGGTCCAAAAAACCAAAACAAAAAAACCCACCAAACAAAAACCAGAATGATGGTCCACACAAAAGCCACAAAAAATTGCAAGCACCAAAATTAAAAAAATGGGGGCTGGGGATTTAGCTCAGCGGCATAAGCGCCTGCCTTGCAAGCAGGCAGTCGTGAGTTTGATCCCTGGTACCGATAAAAATGAAAAAAGACAAAAAAAAAAAAGTAAAAAAAAAAAAAAAAAAATTCAAAAAAATGTTTCTTTATTCACACCGATGTATTAAGTACATCTATTATAATATACAATTTATTGAATTCTATGGATTCATATTAGACTCCACCATGTCCACTCATTATCAAGTGCATACATTGTTCATGCATCATTTCTGAACTCCAGTTGGTCACTCAGCAGAAGTCTTCAGTAACTCAGTTTACATAGGTGTTTATCTTTCATCTGAAGGCACTCACTTGGGTATTAACAAAAAAATAGAAGTTATGTTATCATTTATTTTAATTATGTACTAATATTATTATCTTATAATTCATTATGACTACTGTGTGTTGCAACAGTTGTACTAAATGCATCCATCTAGCTGACGATCTTACCTGGGACTTATTTTGGGGGTGGGGCTTATATTATAAGTGGCCTGAAAAAATCGTGGTAGGGCTGTTTCCCAGGTAGGTCTTATTTTCAGGGAAATGCAGTACATAAAAAACTACATATATTTAATGTGTGCAAAGAGTTTTGGCATGGTTATACGTCCGTGAAACCTTCACCATGACCTAAAACAACGAATACCTCCATAATCCCCAAGCATTTCTGCAGGCCCTTTATAATCCAGCTTCTCAGTCCCTTGCCCAGAGCACACTGATCTGCTTTCTACTACAGTACTATAAATGGATTTGTACTCCTTATTTGGCTTCTTCACTCACCAGATTCTGAGATTCACCTCTATTGTGGTATTTAATATGTGGCTTCATTTCTTTCCCTTAGTAGTATTATGAGTAGTATTCTAGCACAAGAGTATATCAAATTTTCAAAAATGTGTTGACATATTAATGGGCATTTGGATCATCTCCATTTTAGAGCTAGGAATGTTAATGTACAAGACTTTGTAAAGATATGTGCTTTCATTTCTTCCGGGATTTAAATAACTAGTTCATATAGGAAATATATATATATATATATATATATATATATATATATATATATTCATTTTTTGAGAGACTGTCAAACTTCTTTTTAAAGAGTTTTACCATTTTATGTATACATCACTAGCAGTGAATGAAAGACCCAGCGTATTCCACATCTTGGCCAATACCAATTCATAGGATCAGTTTGTGTTGTTTTAGCTGTTCTAAAGAATTCAAAGTCTGGCTCTTGAGGTGCTTGAAAATCTCTTAAAATGGCAAAGGAGCGCCACATAATCATAGAAAGTGGTAAGGATGCTCCCCAGTTCCATTTTATGAGAAACACCAAGATATATGGTTCAGTTTTTAACTGAAGCAAGATGAGATCAAACATTGTACAATGCACTGTAGGATACTTTGTTTTGTGGCTCCCAAGGGCCTCACACATGTTACACAAGTACTGTACCACTGAACTACATCCCTAGGCCTATGGTTTATTTTTGAAAAGAAGAAATGGGGTTGGAGGTATAGCTCAGTGATAGAGCTTCCCTAGCATGCATGAACCCTGAGTTCAGCCCCTAGAAGCAAAAAGAAGAAAAATCCCTATTTACTTGTGCAAGTTGCATGCTTAGAACATCTCTGTCAGGATGAACCAGAAACTGAAAGGTGACCGCCTTTTGGAGGGATGTTTGGTGACTGGGTAATGGGTGGAGGGAGACCTTACACAAACTCTTTGGCACCTTTAGAATTTTGTACTATGTGAGTGTAGCACTAGTTCCAAAAGGTAAATAAAATGTAACGGGTAAAAACCTTCATAAAATGCAAAGTCTTATATCCCCGCTCCACCCGCTGTTTCAAGTTCTCTTGAGGGACCAGAGTCTAGGTTGGCCATGGCTCTCCAGAAATCTTGTTATTTATTCCCTGCTATCAAGCAAGGGTCTTGTAAGGTCCAGCAGAGACCCAGGATGTATCTTGTGCCTCATGACCTCCAGGACTCTCAGATACTCTGTTAGAATCTGAACCTCCGTGTAGTTGTGTACTGAATGGACATTGAGTCTGTTGGTTGAATACATGAATGAATAAAAGAATGTCCCCCCATGTCCTGTTATGTACCATACAGAAAAGAAGAGTGACGGGAAGAGTGGCCTTCTGCCCCTGGCTCCCACCAAGCCTGCTGCACCTGTCTTCCTGCAGGGCCTCTCTGACCTCCGGGTTATGGATGGAAGCCAGGTCACCATGACGGTCCAAGTGTCAGGTCTGGCTGTGTGTCCCTCTCCTTGGGGATTGTGTGGGAATGGTGATGGTTGCATCATGGGTATTGCTGCGGAGACCTTGCTCAAATCAGGGACCTGACGTGGGCCTCAGGATGGGGCCGTGGCCTGAAAAAGTGGGACCTCTCTTTACCTCTTCTCCGGGTAGGATTTTTTGGATTCAAGGTTGACTAGGCTAAGGAAGAAAATGGCTAGAAATAAGAGAGTGAAATACAGATTTGAAAATACTGTGTGGCCAGCACATCTGGAAGGTTTGAAAACAATGCAAAACAAGATTACATGAGAGCTTCTCAGCTCTCAGAAGATACTCTCAGTTGCTCTATTTAAATTGCAAAGGTAGAAAAAAACACTAGAGGTCCTTCTGTATGTGGTGTTTACCCTCTTCTGAGATATCCCAGGCCTTGGGAGGTGAGCAGAGAAGCCAGGAAAGCCTCTGGCTTGTGTTTATGGCTAGCGCAGCTGTAGCTGCCCCTGAGTGCAGCTGAGGTTCTTGGCTCTTGATCAATGCCTCTTACAAATTGCAAGTCATTTTCCTGTTCTGAAAATGAGCTGTGAGAGAACCCAAGGCTCACCCTTATAGGAATGCTCAGATGGTCCTGTTCCTGCAGCTGGAGGCCATGAGAGCCCCAGGCAGGTGTCTGGGTCCCTTCCTGCCACTCTGACATGGGGTGACAGAGACTGTTAGACTCCAGGCCTGTGATGCCCAACCCACTGCAGACAGGTGGCCATCTGCTTACTCAGTGAAGCTCTTCTGCCCCCAGCTTGTGGGCCATTCCAGGGATCTTGCTCCTTGAGAAGCAGAGCTGTTCACCCCTGCCCAGAAGACCCCTGATCAGTGGCCATTGCGCTGGGCCCCAGTAAATTCCAGGAATGCAGAATGGTAAAAACCAACAGTGCTACCACCAAGGCTCATGTTTGGAAATGCTGTGCAAGCTGATGTCCTGGGACAACATTTGCATAACAGCAAAACAAAATGCTACCCAAACTGTCTTTCTGGTGACAATCTGTGTGCCACTGTCCTGCACATGAATGCCCACCACAGAGCAGAAGACGTGTGAAGTTTGAGACTAGAGACCCAGTGGCCACTAGAAGTATGCAGTTGCATCAATTCTAATTTTAGAAACCATTCTTTCTGGGTTTTCTTTTTCTGTCTCTGAATCATATTAGCAGTTCTGGGTTTTTTCTAGTTTCTCTAGATTGGTTTTTTAGTGATCAGGATGAGCACACATCAGGCATTTTCTTTGTGTCAAATGCTTCAAAGGAAACTTGATTCACTTAGGCCCCCCAGTAAGCCCACAGGGTCAGTGCCATTAGACTCCCCACTCTACAACTGGGAGAGTGAAAACACAGAATTGGAGCAAGTGGTTCGCACAGTACCACGCGCAATCATCAGCTGGCCAGGGAAAGACCTCCCTAACCAGCCCCGCCCTACCCACCTTTTGCTTCAGGGAATCCACCTCCTGAGGTCATCTGGCTTCACAATGGGAATGAGATCCAGGAGTCAGAGGACTTCCACTTTGAACGGAGAGGCACCCAGCACAGCCTCTGCATCCAGGAGGTGTTCCCAGAGGACACGGGCACGTACACCTGTGAGGCGTGGAACAGTGCTGGGGCAGTTCGCACCCAGGCTGGGCTCATGGTGCAAGGTGAGGCTAAGCCGCCAGGAGGACAAAGGATTGCTGTAACCACTCCCAGAGCCGCGTGGGGCCTGCTTTGGTCCCAGCCCAGCCCACAGGCAACTCGCTGTCACACACCTCCAGCTCTCTGAAGTCCCTGCCCTCTCTGGGTTACTGGTGACCAGCTGTACCAAGTGATGAGGGAAATAAGCAACATACTTAATTCACAGTGATGGCTTTTGGGATGAGTTCTAGATGCATTGGTCCTTGCCTTTAGTGAACTTTTTCCAGGAGAAACAAGTTAAACACAAAAGTGGGGTGCAACAGCTCCCAGTCAAATGCCTCTGGTGCAGCTCTCAGCGCCTAGCTTGTATCTCTGAGCTCTTTCCTCTTGCCTTGGATATGCAAATTCATTTTAATAGTATTCTCAGTCAACTATACCCAAGACAGATTTTTTTTTTTATCGTACGGGAATCGAACTCAATGACCCACCCCGCGCTTGCAAGGCAAGCGCTTATGCCCCTGAGCTAAATCCCCAGCCCCACCCAAGACAGATTTGTAAAGAGAAAGATGTGCTAATTTGTCTGATGGAGGTGATTTCTGAACCTGCTGCTGTCTGGTGGCAAAAGGGGTAGGTTCAGTGTGCTGAGGGGCCTCCCTCTCCAGCTCTCCCCTCTCCCAACTTCCAGAGCCACAAGATGGCACCCAGCCCTGGTTCATCAGCAAGCCTCGCTCAGTGATGACCTCCCTGGGTCAGAGTGTCCTCATCTCCTGTGCCATTGCTGGTGACCCCTTTCCCAGTGTGCACTGGCTCCGAGATGGCAAAGCCCTTTCCAAAGACACTGGCCACTTTGAGGTGCTACAGAATGAGGATGTGTTCACCCTGGTTCTGAAGAACGTGCAGCCATGGCATGCTGGCCAGTATGAGATCCTGCTCAGGTGAGTCTTCTCTCATTCCTTGGGCTTCCCTAACTTGGGGCTGGGCAACCAGAGGCACAGGTTGATGTGAACCTGGACTTCAAGGTAAAATGAGTTCAGTCTCAGAACAGAACAGGTGCAGGTGGAGAGCCTACCATCCAAGGTCAGTTCCTGGGAACCTCTGTCACAGTGCATTCTGGCCTTCGCACATCATATGTCATGGAGAGACTATGAAACGGAAGGTAGAGGGAATACGTTAGTTATCTGTTGCTATGTAACAAATTACCCAAAAGCTTAGCAGCTTGAAACCACAAAAATTTACTCTCACAGTTTCTGAGGGCTGGTATATTAGTTCTTTTTCTACTACTATAACAGAATCCCCGAGAGTAGAAAACTTCATAAAGAAAAACGTTTTGTTTAGCTTATGTTTCTGGAGACACAGAGCCAGGGGGCCGCATTTGGTCATAGCCTTCATGCTAAGAGGGTCTTGTGGTGCAGGACATTACATTGCAGGGGACAGAAAACTTATGTGTGTCCTGGTCTCTCTCCACGCCCCACCTCAAATATTCAGTCATGGCACCCTCCTTATGACCTATCTAATCTCAATATCCATCCGAAGGACCTGCAGCTAAACACAACAGTTGGATTAAGTTTCCATTCTCCTAATACCTCATAATGGGAATAAATTTCATCACATGAACCCCTGAGGGTCACTAACCATATCACTAAACAGAGCAGCTGTGAATTTGGAAGCACCTTACTTGGATGGATTCGCGATGTCAGAAGGTGTTGAGGTCTCTGAAGGCTTCTCTGACTGAGCCTGGTGGGGCTGTTTCCAAGAGGGCTTGATGAGAGGCCACACTCCTTGCTGCATGACCGCTCTTTCCCCACGGCTGCTTGGAGGTCTTCATGATGACACGTCAGCCGTCTTTCCCAGAGCTAGTGATCCCGAGAGAGAGCGCAAGTCAAACCTGCAAAGCCCTTTACAGCCTGCTCTTGGAACCCATGCGCCATCGCTCTGACTCTGCCTGTGTAAGAACTGAATCGCTGAGTAGTTAGGGCCCATTCTCAAGGGGAGGAAAATTAAGTTTCACCTCTCAGGGCACCAGAGAATGTGTAGCACTTTAAAGCCACCAATGACAGGTCAACTTGCCCATTCCTTTTCCTCACCTTTTTCGGGTCGTGCTGGGTTAGCTGGGAAGGTAAGCCAGTTTGTCCACAGGCCTAGAACACAGTCTGGCCTGTGGTTAGCATTTTCAAGCTATTTGTTAAACAGATGTGATCCAAAAGAATATTCTCCTGTCTTTAAAATGTTCTGTCTCTCAAAGTTCTGTACCAACCCTGGACTATAGAGACATGATGCTGGCCCTGGACCCCAAGGTTGGTGTAAATATTAAAGAGCAACTATCTGCACCTTGACCTAAAAATGGGACATTGGGCCATCCCGAGGCGTGAGTGTCCAGTGCTTTGCAAGGAGCTTCCTCTCCTAGACTTCGTCACTCTGCCATACTAAGCCCTTCATCCTCCAGGCCTTGACATACAAATACGTTCTGTACCAACATAGCAGGGCTACTGCCACGGTAAAACAGGGTTCTCTCAACAATCGAAAAACCTGGCATGTGCCCCCTCCGTTCGGGTCCTTTTTGCACTTGTGCGTTGTGCTTGTATCAGCTAGTTTTTGCTACATAGCAAACCATCCCAAAACAGTATCATTTTTTAAAAAGCTATCTATGATTTATTAGGAGTCTTGGATATTCTAGAGAGATCTGCTAGTCTGAGCAAGCCTCCATGTATCTCAACTGGGCTCCCTGACCCATCTGTGATTAGCTGTGGGCTGCTGGTCACCTTTCAGCTGTCAATGATATTCTCAGAACCAGCTAAAACCAAGAAGCGACCATACTCCTAAGCCATCAAAGGTTGAAAACCAATTAGATGTAAAAATACTTGCAGATGAGCTATCTGCACAGGAGTAGTAGTCTGAGACAATACTTACATTAATTAGACCAGACATTCTAGTGGAGATGAGCTTTTTATGGGATTTTGAGGGAAAATGAAGGTCAAATCTTGGCCAGTGAGAAAGGGCTTGACTATTGAACAGGCCAAGCAGGAGACATGAGGGTGGGGGGAGAGCGTGAAGCGAGGGGCCCTGGAGTTTTGCCAGGCTGGAGAGGAGGACTGCGGTGGGAGATCAGCAGACAGACTGTCTGGGGCCAGCTGGGGACAGTCATAAAATTTAGACTATCACAGCTGGAACAGACTTCAGAAGTTACCAGTCCTCCTCCTCACTTTATAGTGGGGGAAACTGAGGTCTCAGTTCATGGACTTGCTCGTGGCCACACAAAGGCCATGAGCAGAGCTCAAGTTCAAATCTTCATCTGGCTTAAATCAGATGGTTGTCTACTCCTCCGGCCGAGCATGGGACGTTTCTCGAAAGCGCTGGGGAACCAAGGAAATTTCCCTGACGTCTCTACCCTGCAGCCGCTTCCTCTGCCTCACTAACAGGCAATGTCTTCATTCCTCTGGGAGGCCGCTACCCTGGCCTGGCTTGTCCTCGGCTGCGAAGGAGAAGGCAGTGGAAAGTTCTCCTAGGAAGCAGGTGCTGGGCCTGCCGGGGGCCTTGTTCTCTCCTGCTCTCCATGTCCCGAGAGAAGGCAGGCCTAGCCCCAGGGAGAAATGCCAGGAGGGCCAGGGAGGGTGTGTGTGTGTGTAAATGGCTCACCTGTTCCTGATGAGGTCGTGAGACAGGGATGACTGAGTTTCTGCCTCCCCTGTCCTTCGCATCTAGCTCTTATCTCCTGTACCGAAAGGGAAATAGCAAAAAGTCAGTTTCAAGTTCCAGCTGAAATGTGTGAAAAATTAATAAATGTCAGGCAATTACTTCTTTAAACTAGTTTTTCTTATAAGACCATCTCAGCAGTGGATGATTAATGATGGGGCAGAATCCAGGGTTTTGTTACTAGAGGAGTTTGCTGTTGAGAGCTCACAAATCGGAGGTAGATGGCTCTCAGAGTTTGTGAAAGGTGAAGGCCAATAGCATCCTGTCCTCTGCGGCAGCCCCAGAATGAGACCTGAGCCTTAGCCCGCGGCCTGAGTTGGTAACGGTATGTGCAAATGTCCAAGCCTGACGTGTGCTGTCCTAGCTGGTTAGGTAATCTGCATGTGGGACACAGGCAAGAGACCTTCTGACCTTTGTAGGATCCAAATGAGCCTGCTAGTGGCTTTAAAGGCCCAGTAGAGACTTACAATTGTGTCGGTTGGAGCAGGTACCCTGGAGGCCACCCTTGATCTCTCAGTTCTTGATCCTCAGGAGGTGGCCTGGGTTGGATCGAACTGGAGCCTCGAGAGTTTCTCTGTATCTGTGTTCTTCCCCTTCTGGGCAGATCATGGCAGATGGTGGAAGCCCTTCACCTACAGTCCCCAGAGGAAATATGGCTTACTGCAGCCCACAGACAGGGCTTCCCCCAATTCAGAGCCTTGGGGGTTGTGGCCAGTATAAAGCAGGGCCATCTGGTCAGCATCTGCTCCTGATTCTCTATCTGGGCTGTGTTCTCTTTGTGACAGGAGGAAATTGGACTGGGGATGTGTCAAAAAGGGCAGCCAGCTATGCACAGCTCTTGAGCACCTTGTCTCCCAGCTCCAGCCTGAGCACCACAGTGCTGTACGTGGGAGCAGAGGAGGGGAAGCTTGGCCTGACACTGCCTGGCAGCCTAGGAAGCAGGATGCCAGGGGGCTGAGCTTCACTTCCAACAGGCTCTCTCTTGGTTGTTCAGGTGGCCAGAGAACGGAAGCCTTTCTGAGTGTTGAGAGCTCAGGGTGCACTCAGGGCCTGGCGCTGATGAGGCTGTTTGTTGAGCAAGGACCCTGAAAACTGAAGTTCTCCCTGAGATTCCTTGAATCAGTGCTCTTGCTGAACCAAAGCTTTGGGAGGGGACAGGTCGGGGAGCTTGGCAGGGAAAAAATCACAGAAAGTCACCTTAGGTCACCAAGAAATCACCTGTATTGCCACAGTCTGGGGCAGTGTGCAGTCACCACAGAGAAGGACCAAAGAAGAGACCTCAGCCAACAGGAGGTAGAAAGATTAATCTCTCTTCGCTTCACACAGGTCCTGGTGTCTTGAGAATGAGGGCCATGCTGCGGGCAGCCAATGTCTTCCTCTGGGAGGGAGATGCCCACCCCCACCTGCACAGCATAGGCTGGCATGGGCGCAGACCTCTGTCCCTGGGCACAGGATCCACACATGTGCACAGATTCCTAAACTTGGACCTTTGGGAGCAGGCAGACCCACAGACATATGTGTGTGTCCATGTGTGTGGTTGATATGCACACATACATGCACATTGACACGCATAATCAAACATGTATCCCAGAGAAGATATGTGCTAATGAGCAGTGTAGTTTGAGTGTGTATGTTACAGGCCTTAGGCTCAGGCGAACTCAGTGCCCAGCCCCACTCCCCACTAGTTAGCTCTGTGAGTTTCTGCGGATTACTTAACCTTTATATGCCTTGGCTTTCTTACCTGGAAAAGCAGTGCTGCGTCCAACCCAATGGACAGATCATAAGATTAAATGAAACAGCTTAGGTAAGGAAGCTGTCCCAGGGCTTGGCATGTCTGCTGTGGAGTCTGGGTCATACTTGGCCCCTGCAGGCTATGAAGGTGGGCACATCCAGGGGACCGAGAGGGGCTCCGAAAGTCCCAGCACTGCCTCACATAAACCCCTTTGCTTCCTTGTCAGCGGGCATAATCATGCCCCACACCTGGCTGGCGTGGTGTAGGGAGCACAAAGGACAAATGATGTGGGAGTCACAGGGTATGCATAAAACACGGTTCTTAGGATCATGGGGTCCTTCCGGCTCTCTGGCCTTGCCTCATTCTCCCGACCTGAGCAGACCCTTTTGGCTGGACAAAGCTCAAAAACACCAGCAGGTGGCAGCCTTGCATGGTTCAGCCCCTTCCCTGAGCACCCGGCCCAGCTGATGGCCCACCACAGGAGGCCCAGCCTTTCTGGGGATGTGAAGGAAAGGAGTCCCCCTCTCCCAGTTACCCAGCTGAGAGAAAAGAAAGGGAGACCGTTGTTAGGCTCTAAACACAGAAAGTTCTCATCCTAGTGCCCTGGCTGATGCTTTGGGGCAGTTTTCACTTCAGGCTTTCTTCTTCTGTTGATTGAATGAGTGATTGTATTTTATAATCTGCCTATAAAAAAGCATCTCACATCTGGATGCCCAGTTAGTTGCTGCCCCAAAGAGTTTCCTTGTCTTTTTCTTCTTAAACAAGAGCTGAGAACATGAAAGGTGACCTCATGTTTAGGGAGTCTGGCCCTACATCTAAGCCTGGAACCAATGTCACAGCCAAACTTGTGACCTCCATCCTCTCTGGTAGCCAAACAAGCTTTGACCAAGTCCATACTTGCCTCACAGCCCTGGGCTGATCAGGCCCTTTACCTAGGAAGCCCCTTGATCTCTGTTGGTCCCTTGAATTCTTCAGGAACCAGGTTGGCGAATGCAGTTGCCAGGTGTCACTGATGCTGCAGAACAGCCCCGCCAGCCCCCTCCTTCGGTGAGTGCCCCTCCGCCAGCCCGCCTCCCTCCCGGCCCCTCAGCCCCGGCCCAGCAGCTCGGACTGTTTTTGTCCTCCAGCTGAGTCTGTCAGAGCCAAAAGGGAGAGAGATTGGAGAGGGTTGAGGGAGGGAGGGAGGCAGCGGGAAGGGGAGGATGATTTTTTTTTTTGCATGCACCCTTATAAGGCTACTAAAGTCATTACCGATGTAATAAACCAACTAAGCAAGCAAGCGCTCTCCCCGATGTTCCCTTCTATAAACACAGCCTGACCGGCCCCGGCTCTCTCCTCCTCTCTACCCTCCGCCCTCAGGGATTTGCTCTCCCTTGACGTTTCTGCTTTCCCAGCCCCTTTCCCTCCTGCTCCTTTCCTTTCTCTCCTCCCTGGTTGCAGGGGGCAGGAGCCTGCCAGCTGTGAGGGCCGCTGTGGTGGACGAGTTGGTGCTGATGGTGGCAGTGACTGCGATGGAACCCTGAGGCCTGGCTGGCTAGCGAGAGGGCAGGGTTGGCCTTGGCCAGAGGAGGAAGACACCGAGGGTGTGCGAGGGGTGCTGAAGCGGCGAGTGGAAACCAGGCTGCACACAGAGGAGGCGATCCGCCAGCAGGAGGTGGAGCAGCTGGATTTCCGGGACCTCCTGGGGAAGAAGGTGAGCACCAAGACTGTGTCGGAAGAAGACCTCAAGGAGATCCCAGCTGAGCAGATGGATTTCCGCGCCAACCTGCAACGGCAAGTGAAGCCAAAGACTGTGTCCGAGGAAGAAAGGAAGGTGCATAGTCCTCAACAGGTTGACTTCCGTTCTGTCCTGGCCAAGAAGGGTTCTCCCAAGACCCTTGGACCTGAGAAGGAAGCACCTCCAAAACCTGCCACCCCAGATTTCCGCTCAGTGCTGGGCAGCAAGAAGAAATCACCAGCAGAGAATGGCAGCAGCAGTGCCGAGGCCCCAAATGCCAAAGGCCCGGAAAGTCCCATGCCTGTGGGCAAGGCAGAGCCCGCAGGGGCCCTGAAACCCTTGGGCAAGACCAAGCCTGCTGAGCCCCTGAAATCTGTGGGCAACACCCAACCTGCAGAGACTCCAAAACCCACGAGCAGCACAGAGTCTTCTAAGTCCCTAAAACCCATGGGCAACACCAAGCCTGCCGAGTCCCTAAAACCCATGGGCAATGCCAAGCCTGCTGAGCCCCTGAAACCCCTGGGCAATGCCAAGCCTGCCGAGCCCCTGAAACCCCTGGGCAATGCCAAGCCTGCTGAACCCCTGAAACCCCTGGGCAATGCCAAGCCTGCTGAGACCCTGAAACCCCTGGGCAGTGCCAAGCCTGCTGAGCCCCTGAAGCCCCTAAGCAATGCCACGCCTGCTGAGACCCTGAAACCATCTGGGAAAGAAGACCTCAAGAAGGAAGTTAAGAATGATGTGAACTGCAAGAGAGGGCACACAGGAGCCACAGATAATGAGAAAAGACCAGAAAGCCAAGGGACAGCCCCAACCTTCACAGAGAAGCTACAAGATGTCCGTGTGGCAGAGGGTGAGAAACTGCTACTCCAGTGCCAGGTGTCCTCGGACCCTCCAGCCACCATCACATGGACACTGAATGGAAAGACACTCAAGACCACCAAGTTCATCATCCTCTCTCAAGAAGGTAAACAGGGGTGCGAGTCAGGGCCGAGGTGTGCTCGTGGAGCTTTGTCTGGTTGATGGCCACTTGTAGCCCGTAGCCTGAGTTCGAATGTCCGGCTCTGTGCCCTCATTCGTGGGCCCCTCTCAGGGCCTTGGGTACATGCCCCTTGCTGGGAGTGAGGGTTTGGAGTCTGATCCTCTGACACATCCCTGTGTCCTTGTACCTGTCTAGCAGAATCCTCTGGTCACTCCCCGCCCAGGGCTTCCCAGGGTAGATCTGTCTTGAATGTAGTGGTTGGACTCCCCTGCATGAAGAGGGCTCTGCCTGCAGACTGGGAAATGGGGAAATGGACTGGAGCCGGCCAGGGGCTTGGAGCCAGCAGCTGTGCAAGCAGAAACAGTTTGAGTTTGGTGAAGGGTGCACAGTGACAGGGTGCCACAGGACTGTGAGTTGAGGTCACAGACAACTTAGCTTTTGGAGCACTGTGGATTTGAAGGGTCCTGTGGGGGAAGGCCGAAACCCTAAGCAGCTCCAGGGCACACAGCAGACAGAGCTGCTCGCTTCCTAATTTGGTTGAGACTTCTGTTTGCTACTATTTGACATTCTTGGATAGGGTTGGGGTTAAATCTTGCTTTCTGTGGCCTTCTGGGGTATGGAGTTCTCAGATGGCTTAGATTGTACCTGGAAAAGAGAGGAGGCAAGAGGAGGTCGCTTCCTGGCCCTCAAGTTGGCCAGAAGTGTTCTTGTAAATCCCAAGTGTTGGCAAGAGCTCCAAGGCCAGCAGACATGCACTCAGCACTCTGGGGCCTTTGAGGGATGGACCCCTGCATGAGCCGGAAGCTGGCACAGAGGCTCTGGCAAGGGCAGAGCACAGAGAAGCTCCCTAGGCAGTGGCATCAGCCCTTGAGCGGCAGAGGTAGCTGCTGCACAAGCCAGGTGGACAGGGCGCCACACATGCACATGGGCCGAGATGGCAGAGCTGCTCTTCCTCTTTCCCTTGGGCCATCCTCTGATCACATCCTTCTTCACTCCCTCCCTGTCTCTCCTCCTGTCTCCTTCCTCTTCAGACCTGGAAGAAGGCATTTAAAGATAGCCATGACCTGTCCGTGGTTCGCTCTGCATCTTGGACAGCAAATCTGGACTGGCCAAGCATGTGGAATCTAAAGGCTGAAGGGGAAATTGGAGAATTCTCTGAGCAGAGAGAAAACTTACTTTCTGCAAATGTGTTGACATCAGTAACATTCCACATGGGCATTCCAGACTGCCAGGGTCCTCCGGAGGGCATCTGTTTATCCCTCTGCTTCTGTTGGCTCCGTCAGGTGATGTTCACACAGGTGGTCCCAGGGGATTACTGGTGACTGAGATGTTCAGGGATGCCTTTGCCTTCCATGGATGCCTCTCAATCCTTGTCCAAATTTATTGGAAACCTTGGCCAAGAGCATTTCTCGGGTCACCTTTTCCTGGGGAGACCTTCTGGAGGAGGGAGCTTGGGCAGTTTGGCACATATGGAAGAACATATGAGGTCCATCAGGCACCAACCCCAGAGAAACAGGTTCTGAGGGTACAGGAAGCCCCCTAACTACATGGGGGTTGCTAGCCATTGGCTTCTCTTGCCCTGATGGCATGCAGTAGGTTTATACGCTGGTCTCTGGGTATTAAAGGGCATATCGATGCCAGACACTCCAGCACTGCCTCCCACAGAAACTGTCCCAAAGGGAATAGGTAGGGCCAAAGCAGCAGCATGAGACGTGATTAGAGCAGGGCCAGCACAAGAGGAGAGATGAGAGCGGGGGTTAGATACAGCCCAAAGCAGACTTTAAGTGATACTGCAAATATTTTCAATTTCATTTTAAATAAGGAAGTCTGTATCTGTTGAACATCATGTGTGAGACACTGTCCTGGGCATCTAACGTTTTCCATTTGCTTAATCCTCTCATGGCTACTTTAATGTCCCCCTTATAATAGACAGGTACCTTGCCCAAGGCCCACACAACTCATAAACAACAAAGCTGGTACTGCAACTCAGATGATTGAGTTCCCATCTCTAACCAAAGTGTTGACAGTCAGGGGGTGTGCTCTGGGCCTGCCACATTTTGAGTATTTTTCCTGCAGGGAAGTGGGCACACTTTGAAACCAGACTGTTTTGCCACAGTAAAACAGTGCAGAAAGTGTCTTGTCTCAAAATATTAGTCTGGGCTTCTGTTCCTGCACTTGTGAAATCTTTAAGAGCCCATGTTGTGTGTGTTTACCAAGGAGAAAGTGTGTCTTAATGCTTATCAGTTACAACTTCAGCAGGGCCTCCTGCAAGGATGGGTCCCTTGCAGAGAGCAGGACGGGGTGCTGGTCCGGATAGAGGACACAAGCTCATAATGATGAAACTGTTACAGCCAAGTGCCCTGAGAGTGGTAGGAGGAGCTTCTTGCAGCAGGAAGAGGGAAGCTAAGTTCTGGAGCCACTAGGAAAGGTTGGTGGAAAGTCTGGTCTCCATCTGAGCTCCGAAGGCAGGCTAGGCTTAGGCAACAGGCAAGTGTGCAGAAGGTGGGCTTTTCATGCAGCAGCCTGCAGCAGAAAAGGCAAGCTGTGTGTAGCCCGTCTGTGCTGAAGAGCAGGGCTTGGTCCTTGTGTCATCCTGCATCCCCTCAAGAAACTCGAGTGTAAAAGCAATAGGGAACCGTGCGAGATCTTGGAGTAAGGAGCACTGTATACATAGCTGGGTTTAGAACTTCTGTCTGCCCAAAAAACAAGCATGAGTCCTGCTGCAGAGGTTAGGGGAAAAGGTGGTAAGGCCTGGACTAGCAGACTAGGGGAGGCATTGCAGAGAGCAAGAAGGAAGGACAGAAGAGCCCCTCGGTGTGCAGGAAAGCTAGGACAGGGTGGGGCTAGAGAGGAGACAGGGTGGCAGGCCACCAGGTGTGGGCGTCTGGGCCGCAGGGACGGTGTCGGTGGAAATAGGGAAGCTTGGGGTTTGGGTTGGGTCATAGGGGAAGAAGAAGGGATTGGCTGGGTCTAACCATCCTTCCCACCTGCTCAAGGCCTCCCTGCCCCCATCGCTGATACGGATCCCCACTGTGCTGACCCCCACTCTGTCCTCTCCTCTACCATTAATCCCAGACTGCTGTCACCTTCGGCCAGAGATCTGCCCCTTCCTCTCTGCCCAGCCACACACATCTCTACGTGCAGCCACTGTCGCTCCTGCCGCAGTTTTGGTAGCTTCTCTGATACCTGTGAGTTGAATGAGCCTTAGAACCTGATCTGTTAGCCCTGAGGACATCCCGAGAAGAGTTGTGACCACTGTCCATTGGAGCTGACCAGTCATCCTTAGAGGGACAGACATACAGAAGCTCCCTTCCTCTCTCTACACTCTAGAGCTGCAGGACGGTGCAGTTCAGGGTGACACCAGCTAGACTGACTCTGAGGCAGGCACTGGGTCACCTTTTCTACACCTGTCTTGGCTTCAGGGTCAGAGGCAGTGGCCCCATGAGCCCAGGGCAGGGCTGAAGTGATCTCCAGGCTTTGCTTTTTGCCCTAGGCCTGGCTTCCTCCAGCCAAGCATTTCCCCAAGTCTAATTATGAGAATTTATTGTTGTTGCTGTTGGCAAGAGGTGATTCATTTTTAATTGCATTCGGGGTGGAATCTTGTAAAGGCTTTTTCATATAAGTTCATTCTACAGAAGGTAGAGTTCTGCAGCACTACTATATGCAAGGCCTTATGCTGGTCTCTGCCCTTGTATGCATCATTGTTGTAAAGATCTCTGAATTAGGACTTTTTCCTTTTAAAGATGTCTTTTCCAGTAGGTTACATTATGTATTCATGATCTTTGCTCACAGGTCTTGCCCAAAGGCCTACTGCAGAAATGTCTTAGTCATTCTCAGAATGATAAATATTTTTCACTATGATTGCATTCCGGACTGGGGAAGAGGGCACGTGATAGATATGGTCACTGTCCCAGAGCTAGTGCGGAGATGGGCATGTATTTCCGCAATGGTCTTGAGAGACACATATTGGTCACAGTGAGCTTGGGATAACGTGGGATCAGAAGCAGCACAGCCAGGGCTGGGTGCTGAGAGGTGACATGGAGGATGCTTTGCCTGAGCGGTTGTCTGGAGGTGAGACTCCCTGTTGGTCTGGGCCTGTCAGATGGGCCAGGCCAGGAAGGCCCTGCCAGCCAAAGGAGCCTGCTAGCTGTGCCGCCAGAACTTCAGATGGCTCCCTGCCTCCCGACGAGATCCCCTCCTCCCTCTGCCCACCCACTCAGGAAGGAGAGATGGGAGTCCTTCAGATGGCGAGCTTCTACTCCCAGGCTGGGAGGGGCTGAGTCCACTCCTGACCTCTCCCATCCCCCTCAGTCCCGTCCCCTCAGCCCCATCAGGCTGAGACTGTGCAAAGCCAAAAAAAAAAACAACCTCTGGGAAACAGTTTTCTTGTGGAGGTCAGGAATGAACTGTCCCACAGGAAATACCAGATTCTTCATCTGAGGGAGCCAGCCTCCCATCCCCCAGCCCCCCCCCCCCCGGCCCTCACATGTGGCTGTGGCGCTGCAGGCCAGTCCATCACTGGGGAGAGCCGGGGGTAGCAGAAGGCGGAGCCCCGTCCAGTGCCCACTGCCCTCCTCTCCTGTCAGTCTGAAGTGTGTGGCCTTTTGGCTTAAGGCCAAAGGCAGCCAGGGGACCGAAACTGAAAGGAAACCAAGATTTCAAACAGGATGTTCTTGGGGATGGGCTGCTGTTCCCAGAGCCTTAGTCCCACCCAGACAGAGAGAAAACTGCAAGGTGGGGTCAGTTTCCTCTAGGCCTCCACGGTGGGGCCAGAGACCATCATAGCCTCCTCCTGCCTATCCAGATAAATGGGAATGTCTCCCGTGGAGGCAGTTATCCTCATCCCATTACTTCTGTATCTCCTGGTTCTAGCTCTCATGCCAGACTTTCTAAAGTTCCAACCTCAATCCTTTCAGCTACTGTTCTTGCAAATTGTCCCCTAATCTCAGTAAGAAGAGACCATGGCCCATTGTCTTTCAGGAAAAGGACTGATCATGATACATATGGTCACTGTCCCCAGAGCTAGTGCAGGTGAGGCCTTCCCAAGGGTAGGGTCTGTTGAAGGCTGTAAGATCAGTAATTCTGCCCCAGGAAAATATTAGGCCTTTACTTTCTCCCCCAGCCTGAGTGAGACTCTCCAACCCAAACTGATGCCATCTTCTGCTTTCTGGGTGTCCTTACACTTGTTGGTCAGGCCTGTGCGTCTGTCTAAAAAGGACAAGAGACCAAGCAGAGTTCTTTCTGAGATCAGAAGATTCCTGTGGGCATAGTGCCTGCTGGCCTCCGTTTTGGTCTCAGCCCGCTCCATGTAACAGCTCTGCCCCTCTGGGGCCAGAGGCTCTGGCTCTGTCCTCCCATCCTGTGATGGCTGCTGCCCTGATAGCTGGCAGCTTTGGGCAGGCACTGTGCTGTGGCTTGTCTGCGTGTCAGAGGCAAACACTAGGATGCTATTGCCCCTGCCTGGGACCCTGAGGAGAAGTGGCCAGCCCTGGACAAAAGCTGAGTGCGCCAGGGCCAGACTCCAGATTCCTGTGTGTGCCAGTCTGACTCTCTTCCTCCCAAAAGACCAGGATTGGGTGTGGAGCTGTGAGTGGACACAGGTGAGGGCAGTGGGGAGAGGAGCCATCCCCACCCAGCTAGGAGCTGATCAGAGACCCAGCCCTATGGGGAAGCAACTCCAAGTGTTGCCCCCGCCCAGGGCCATGTGTTGGCCACCCTTCTTCAGCTCAAACCCCATTCCTTAAAAAGACAGCCCACAATCCCAGGTCATAGTCCAAGAGCTGCCCTCAGAGCACTGGGCTTGGCAGAGGCTATCCCAGCCGGCCTCCAGCAGCTCGGCAACCTGACCTTGTCTCTCAGTCTGTGGGGAGTACTGCTTGCTCCCTCTCCGTGTTGGGACCAGAGGCTGCTTCTCTCTGTGCACCTGCTTCAGGTCCCCAAAGGCCCTCTGGGTAAGCAGAGGTCCCCAGAGGCTCACACTGCGGCAGCAGCTCTGTTGGGTACAGAATGTCAGCAGAGTCCCCTGGCTTCCACAAGGAAGAGGACTTGCTTTGCACCAGGCCTCTGCCCTGCTGTGTGCAGACCCTCCTCTGTCATGCTCCAGATGTTGATGCATGGTCCACTCAACAGCTCTTTCTTTTTCTCCAGGCTCACTGTGCTCTGTCTCCATCCAGAAGGCTCTACCCGAGGACAGGGGCCTGTACAAGTGTGTAGCCAAGAATGGCGCTGGCCAGGCAGAGTGTTCCTGCCAAGTCACCGTGGACGGTAGGTGTGCTCACCACTACCACCACACACGGAGTCCCACCTCTCAGCCCCTCATGAACCTGAATGGAACTGCCCAGGTGTCCCTGTCCCTACCTAGGCATTCACTGGATCAGCCTCAAGCTGTTTTTGCAAAAACAAGACAGGAAAAAAAAGTGGCAGCCCAGTTACAGCCTCTTCCTGTGCCCCACCAGGAGGGGCGGGTACTGTATCCTCCCCTCTCAACCTGACCCCAACCATGAGCCTTGTGGGCGGGGAAGCCTGGGCACCAGGCAGCAGGCAGGAGGACACACCCATAGGAGAACGACAAACCATTTACAAGCCATAGTAACAAATGTGAGTGCAGGAGCAGAGAGCGAGTGGGGCGGCATGTAAGGAGAGTACAGTGTGGACAGCCATCCTTCGAAGGTGAAGGTGAGTCGGGCGAGACTTGGGGAAGCGACAGATGATCACAGAGCAGCAGGGAGAAGCAGGGAACAGGGGAGGAAGAGCAGCCCTGCCAGGTCATCTCAGGAAGGGGCAGGACCCAGCAGTGAGGCGCAGCAGTGTCCTGGAGAAGTGCAGGAAATGTGCATTTGTGATCTTCCCTCCAGGAGAGGCGCAGAAGTAGAAACAGGATAAAATGAAAAGATGTAAACACACACCCTCATTATTATTTTTAAATCATTTCTTTCTCTGTGGGGCAGGGGATAGAGTGCATATTAGGTAACCACTTTACCCCTGAGCTACGCTCTCAGCTCCAACACCACCATTTTACAGATGAGAAAACCAAGGTACTCTGAACAAGAAGTACAGCTTAATGACGTTCCCACCCCTGGAGGTCCAAGCCTACAGGCATTCAAGCCAAGGCACAGCCCCATCTCGAGATTTTCAGCCCAGTGCCCATTCTTTTATTTGGTATTTGCCTGGAAATGTCTAAAAAGGTAGTTTTGGGAAAACAGTATCTTGCCCTTGAGATGCCTGTTTAATAACTATCAGTGACTTGCCAAAAACCACTGTCCAAATAAGGCATCTCAAAGAGCAGCTTTGTTGTTCTTCTGGCTCCTGAATGAGATCACTTGAGTCCTAAAATCCTAACCTGTTTTACTGCCATACCACAAGATGTAGAATCTTTGTCTTCATTCTGGATTTTGTAATCCAGCTTCCCAATCATAACACTGAGATCTACATACATAATAAATGGGAGGAAGGAGGAAATGTCTTAAAAGCCTTTTAAAAACACACTATGGCAGTGTATATAAAAGTATTAGAAGCCATACCAAAACAAAAGGAAGAATAAGTTGAGATGCCTTTGGCTAGCCTTGTGTCCTGCTCCCTGATCAGCTCAGAACAGGGCCGTAGCACAAGCTTTGGAGGCTGTAGGCAGAGGCAAAGGCCACTGCGCCCTCCTCTGTGTGTCTGTCTTCACCTGGGCCGCCACCACCCAGGTCAGAGTCCTGCTCCTTTCTCTCCAGGTAATGTTGTGGTGTTCCTGGCACCTTGACTAAGAACCTTACTTCTAAGAGCCCTACAGTTCCTAGAATTCACACTGGCTCCCACCAGTCTTTTTGTGATAAGGAAGCCAGCCTGCTAATGAAGTTACCTGCTTTTGAAAGCCTTGGCCTCTTGGACTCCTGTTTGCATGGTTGGAGCAGGCAGGAGAGCAATTGGTTCTCCTTATCTATAAAGTCTCAGCACCTTTTCTAGATTGTTTGCAGGATGAAATTTCCTTTTCCCTTACAAAACATATTTGAGAGTCCTTTTCTTTTTCTTTTCTTTTTTCTTAAGGGTTAGGGAATTAATTCTGCAACTTAGGGGACTTTGTTTACCAGAGGTCAGCTGGAAGACTCTCTCACGCTCCCCCAAGGATGACCATCATCATTTATGTCTAGTCCCTTCAAAGGCAGCCTGGGTCCTCAGGTGCACACTGGGAGCTGGGTATAGGAAGAAGAGCTGGGAAAATGATAGGCAGAAGGTCAGTTGAGATAAAAGAATGGGCTCTCAGTTAATTAGGGTTAGTTTTGGTTTCAAACAGAGAAAAAGGGCGGCCCCCCGCACCCCTGCCTTCCCCACTGCTGTGCTTGGAGATGTATCAGTGTCCTGTATGCTGGTGGGCTTCTCGGAGTTACACTGAGCAGTTTCTCCATCAAGACCTGTCTCCAGGGGAACAGCAAAGGACTGAGGTCTTCCTGCCACCTCAGCACGTTGTGCCCCCTTCTGACTGGTGTCCTGCCCAGCTGGTTAAGCTTCCAGGCTTCATTTCGTCCTCCCCTCCTACTTGTTCTCCTCGTTCCCTGGGCGTGACACGTAGAAATCCGAGGACCTTGGAGTGTAGACGGGCTAGCACATCTTTTTTAAGAGAGGGGTCCATACTCATAATCAGATTGTCGGGAGCCATGAACTAGTCGCCCTAAGTACTGAATTCTCAAGTCCTGTAAGTGTGGGACTTTCCATTTGTTCTGCTTCCCCCGACGGCCGGGCCCTCCCAAGGGGTTGTAGGCCCCTTTTTGTGCTGACTTCAGACTGGCTTCCCCTAGCACTCCGGAGGACTCCTAAAGTCACTCACTGTCACTCACTTAGCCTATGCCTGACTTCATGAAGCCCACATCTGTAACCAACATAATAACGCCTTTTTAAAAATTTTTATTTAAAGAGAAAAAGAAAAAAAAAACAGAAAAAGGGTACAAATAATACAGAATTTCAAAAAAATAAACAGTTAAGAAATCCCTAGTTAATAGATTACATATTGTCATCTTAGAAATAGTTGTTCAAGTTATAAAAGTAAAGTATTCAAAGTGGACATTCAAACAGTGAGACTGCAAACAGTTCTATTCAATGATCCAACAAAAACTCAGTAATATGGTTATCTATCCTGTACACTTAAATATACAGGCAGTTATATCCTTTAGAGCACTTTCTTTTCCTCTCTTTTTTACAATAACAATTACTTTCAAGACTTAAGACAAAGGAGCCCAATGGGACCACTCACTGATTGCTGTTCTGTGTTACCCACATTTACTGCTTCTCTCTCTGTCTCTGTCTCTCTCTCTCTCTCTTTCTCTCTCTCTTTCTCTCTCTCTCTCCCCCCCTCTTTCTTTCCTCCCTCCCTCCTCTCTCTTGTAGTAAGGATTGAACCTAGGGTCTTTGCACCAAGTTACATACCTAACCCTTTTTTAAGTTCTGCTTTTTTAATTTTGAGACAGGGTCTCACTAGATTGCTGAGTTGCCCAGGCTGGACTCAAACTTGGCAGTTTTCCTGTCTTGGTTTACAGAGAGCTGGGATTATAGGCAGCACTACCATGCCCAGCTTCTTCTCTTATGTAATAAAGTAAAGGAAGTAACCTTAACAAAACAGCACATCTGGCTTTTAAAATCATGTTGTTTGGGTCTTTTTCCTGTGAAAGGGAGTGTTTTTTACACTTTTTATTGTCTTTCCCCCTGTACTGGGAGTTAATTCGAAGATCTTTGACACGCTAGGTAAGCACTCCACCACTGAGCTACATACCCAGCCCTATTTTAATTTACTTTTGTGACTCAGAGTCTTGCTAAGTTGCCCCGGTACCCAGATCTTGCCAGTGTCTGCTACAGCCTCCAAGTAGCTGGGGTGATGGACATGTGCCACTGTGCCCAGCTGGTATATTTCTTGATTATTGTCATACGATTCCTCTCCCCAAACTGCGTGCGAAAGCAATTGTCAGTCTGTCACATTCAAAGGGAGCAGAGACCTAGTGTGGGTTAGATGGCCAGAAAACTCACCCAGCAGAGGTAAGCTGACCTTCAGTGCCTGCTGTGCCACTGTGCAGTTCCAATTATGCAGCATAGATGGACTACCTTTCTCAGTGAGCAAAGGCTCAGTGAGGGCCGACAGCCTCCCATCTCATAGACGCCACCCACTACATGCAAGCAGGACTCAGGTGTATCTGGTGCCTTCCCAAGCCCTGGTGCCATGCAGGAGAATCTGATCTCCCTACTCCCAACCCTCTCTGAGGCAAGTCCTTCTTCACATGGGACTGGGATCAGACCCCGATGAGAGGTGAAGAGGTCTCTTATAGGCCAGCATCCTCAGACAGGAGTCAGAAGCCACCCTGGCCCCTCGCTGGCTCGTCCTGCCCTTGCCAGCTCAGGCCTGGATTCCCCAGGCACCCACTCAGTAGCAGTGGAAGCGGTGCTTCAGACCGTGGACGGGGTGCGTGTCTTGTAGGAGGGGAGGTACCAGTGGGTGCTGTGCCACCATTCATCACTTGAGTGCTCACTGCACCCAGCACTGCTCTCAGGGCTGCTGTTACCAACAGTAAGTAAAACAGAAAATGTTCCTGGTCTCAAGACTCGACAGTCCACAAAGGGATGAGGGGACGATAGTGCTGATGAACAGCTGTGCTATCATCTCGAGGAATACCTCACACTGCAGAAGCATAGGTGGACAAGGGGAAGGGACTCACTGAGGCCTCTTGACGATGGGACGTCTAAGCAGAGACCTGCACGAAGTAACATAAAAGGCACCGCTGAGAAAGAAGAGGTGACAGCAAAGCTGTATTTGTGCATTCCAGGAAAAGGAAGCATGCCAGGCTGGTGGCCATGAGCCAAGGACAAAGCAATAAGAAATGAAACTGCAGAGGGGCGGGGACCGTCCTTAAGGCCGGGAGGGCTGTGACCGAGAAGCCAGATTTTATTCTGAGATGGTGAAACAGTGCTGACACCAGATCACTCTCGATGTCTTTGGCTGATGCGACTCAGAGTTAGGTTAGAAGAGAGCGGGCAGATCAGCTGACAGGAGGCCGGGGCACTTTAGACCAGATCATTGCCGGAAGAGACAGGAGCAATTGGGTTCATAATCTAGTCCGGTGCGGAGCTAGCAAGATTCTCTGATAAGCTGAATATGAGAGGTCTGACATCTTCACCTGGTTGAAATCTTCATTTTCATGGAGGAGTGAAGACCGAGAATGGTACCAGCCCCTAAAATCAGAAGGCAGGGGCTTGGGACAATCAAGAGTTTTGTACGTGTAAAGTTAAAGGTGCTTAGTAGGCAGGTATTTGGATAAATCTGAAGCTGAGAGGGAGGTCAGGGCTGGAGGGAGGGTGTGGGAGCCTCCGACATGCTTGGTCATTGAATGTTCTGGGATTGAAAGATACCTAGGGATGACCATGGATGAAAACGGGACGAGGAAGGCCGAGTACAACATTGAAAGGTAGGAGCGAGGTCGGGGTCTGCAAAGAAATAGCCACAGGGAGAAAAGAAGAAATCCAAAGAAGCAAAGAGTCCCAGAAGCCAAGTGGTGAAACTCAAGAAGAAAAGAATAATGAGGATTGATGTGTCAGATGCTGCTACCCAGGAAAGGTAGGCCTAAGTGCCAGCCATTGGATGTGGCCACATGGAGATCATTGATGACCTTGACCAGAGAGGGCTTCCAGAGAGTAACACTGGCCCTGCTGGGGGCTGTCAACACCCCCTGACTAGCTGGATAGGGACCTAAACCAAAGCTAGGCTTGGACCCACTGCTGTCTGCTGTCACTGAGACCGTCAGGGCCTTCTGAGTCCTGCTGAGCTGACCTTGCTTACTACCAAGCTGACCTTGGTTCACCCTTCCTTCGTCAGTGTCAGCTCTGCCATGTTCCTCAGTCCATTTCTACTTTCACATTTATTCTTCAAGCCATCCCAGGAGCTGTGGGCATTGGGTTGAACGGAACAGAACTGCTGCTTCTGTAGGTCAGAAGTTCTTAACGTTGGTGGGTGCTGTAGCTGCACCTGTTACGAGCTTCTAAAGCACGTAGCCCAGAATTTATATGGAATAAGTTCCAAGTAAATATCACATATTATTTTACGACTCCCTCCTTCTTCATCCTTCTACTGCAATGTTGTTGTTCTCATTTTCCAAGTGAGGCAGATCAGATGCAGAAACAGTTCAGGAACTTACCCAAGGGCACACAGCCATTAAACAATGGAGCCAAAAAGGCCCTGTTTCTCATGCTAGGTTGCTGCTTACCTTCATGGGAAGAGAGAGCCCAGAAAAGAGGAGCGGGCCATCGTGGGAGAGGCTGAAGCCCAGTCCTCCGTCCTGTCCCTTAGTGGGGCTCCTTACACTTAGGTCGTCTCCTAGAGATCCCCCAAACCTCATTTCCCTCACCTGGGATCAGAGCCCAGGGATCAACCTCTTGGGGGAAACAGAAGAAATGCCATCTTGGAGGACTGAGCTAGCCCACAAGTGGAAGGGTGAGGCATTGTCCATATAAGGACAAGTTTTCCACTCTCGTCAGTGGCCCCCCACTTCCCCACACCTCCATCTTCCTCCCCAGGCTTCTTCAGGGCCAAAACCAGGCCAGCAGAGAACTCTGGCCCTGGGGCCCAGATCTAGAAACAAAGTTCAGTCTCATCACAAAATGACTAAAATAGACCAAAAATACAAGCTGCTCAAACTTTTATTACTATTATTTTTATCCCCTGGGCAGCCACGTGAGCACAAAGCTGTTTTTGATTAAGCACAGGGCCCTTCCAGCCCATTCCTTGCTGCAGTTCTCACGGAGGCTTAGTGGCTCCGTGTCCCTAGCATGGTCCCATGGCGTGTGCACAGCTCCCCACGGAGCTGGCAGTTGAGGAAGGGGCTCCTCATGGATCTCCAGGTCTGCAGTGCGCCTGGTTTGAAAAGGAAACCTGAGCCCTTTCCTCATGGACAGATGGAAAGATAAGCTGCAGTGCACCATCCTAAGGCAAGGCTCAAAGCACCACCCGGCAGCAGCTCACACATCCAGTGAAGACGCTGGGTCCCCCAGCCTAGGAGGGCGCTGGTTGAAGGCCTTTCTGAAGCTGATTCAGCAGGAGGGAGGAGAATGCAGTTAGCTGAAGGGGTGAGTTCTTTTAGGTGCGTGACCCTTCTTGGCTCTCCAAGGCACTCCCCATTTTTCCCTTCGGGACCTGGGGCACTGTGGGTTACAGAAAGTAAGAGCTGTTCCCTTTGTACAGAGTGGAAGCATGAACACTGAGTGGCTGAAAGGATGTGCCCATGTTTTCAAGGCCGCTGATGGCAAAACCAAAACCAAACTATGCCCTAGAGTCAAGGTTCTTGGAATCAAGCCCAGCATGACCCACGAAGAGAGAAAAACTCTCAGTCTCCGCTGCCCTTCTTTCAGGACCCAGAAACTAGGTTTCTCATCCTTCTCTTGTTTGTGTCCCAGCTTCCTCATCAGTAAAAAAAGAACCCTGCCTTTTCGTTCTCTGCCTCGTGTGTGCTCTGCGATTTAGCAGGAGTAAGAGGTTATTGAAGAAAGGGATGCAGAACGGTGCATACACTGTGTTTTTACTCTTGGGAAAAGGGTCAAGGAAAGAAAGTGCTAGGTGCAGCTTTCTCCAGTCCTGAGGGAGTTTCTGTTCTTCACTGTGTCCACCTGACACTGATGCCCTGCCTGGGCTGCCGCCCCCACCCCCGAGCTTGGCAATGTGGGCTCGGGATCTGGGGCTCCTTTGTTCTTCTGGAAGTTAGTAAGAACACAAAGCAGCGAAGGCAGAAGAGTAAGGCTGTCAAGTGCAGCTTGAAAAGATGTCTTCCATCTTTGTCCCTCACCCCCAGCCCCCTCACGGAGGCCCAGGCTGAATCATTCCTGCAGCTGCACGCTACGGGTTCAGCCATTTTTGGTGAGCTGAGCCTGCCTGGTGCCTGCAGAGAGCTTATTATCACTGGCTCACCCAGCCCATGGAGGGTGGCAGGCACTAGGTGGGGAAGGAAGCCTGGCTGGTGTTAGACCCCGAAGCACTGCTATTGTGCAACAGCCGGGGGACCTGGATGCCATCTAGAGGACAAAATGCATCTAGTTGGAAACTCAGTCCACAGGCTGGAGTCTCTCCCTAGTCTGTCCGTCCTGGTGTCCTGGTATCACGAGGCAGGAACAGTAAGATGGCTCTTCCTCCCCAGCCAGACCACAGGAATGTGGCCAGAGCCTCAGATGGAAAGTCCCCTCTTCCTTCTGTTCTTCCTCTTCTCAGGAGCAGGAGGAGGAGTACAGGAAGGGGGTGGAGGAGGACAGGAAGTGTCCCTTAGGGTGAATGAAGCCATGAAGATAGTGGAGTGTGGGGACAGCTGTCCCACCAGTAACTTCTGTCTGAGTTCTGAGTAGCTGGCCTACATCTTCTTAAGTTCCATCTCCTCTTGTCCAGTGGGAACCTTTGTGCTTAGCTCTGCCAGCCCGGAGTGATTTTCCCTGTTTCCTAACAAGGGAGGGTTTCCTTGGCACTGTCCGAGCTTTGCATTAATACGGAAGAGGAAGCGTGGAGCAGAGACTTAAGGAGCAGTGTGCCAACTGCCCAGCATGGCAGTGTGCTGCCCAGCTGCTGCTGTAGGGTTCCACCAGCCCTGCCGTGGAAAGGGGTCACAGGAACTCACCTCGATCTCAAGTTGAGGTTTGCTAGTGGCCTGCTCAAGGCCTTACCTGCAAGGCCTGAGTGCACAGGAGGGCTGCAAAGTCAGAGGCCACAGCCTTCTCCCGTCTGTGCGGCCAAGGGCAAGCACTTGCTCCCTCCTTTCTCAGTGTGAACCTCTCCCTACAGAGCACCCTCTGGAAGTCCCAGGCAAGGCCCAAAAAAGAAAAATTAGGGTGATCTAAAGCAAAGGGGGTGACTGCCCCCCGCCCTGGCATTGTTTCTGGTGGCCTGTGTTGCTGGCTGCAGGAGTTAACTTGCTCCCAGTACCCTGTGCATCCATCTTGCTGGGGCAATGCGCCCACCACCTAATTTACCACCCTGAGGAGTACTGTCCATCTTTGGTGCTTCTGGGGAGGCAGTGCCAGCCTCGGGCACCACACTGCTTAGCGTCCACTGGGCCCTCAGAGGGGCTGCAGGCTGGGAGGGCCATCATCAGGCGGAGGTGGGATTCTGACTGAGATGCCGCCTCTGCCCAGTTCCTTGGACAGCTACTGACTGCTGTGATGTCGCCTGTTTTCTTCCAGATGCACCAGCCAGTGAGAATGCCAAGGCCCCGGAGATGAAGTCCCGGAGGCCGAAGAGCTCTCTTCCGCCTGTGCTAGGAACAGAGAGTGAGTACTGGCCTCACCATGGCGGAGGGCGGCACCGAAAGGGTGGCACCCGCCTCCTGAGCACCCATTCTGTCCACCCTACCACCGTCTTGTTGTCCCCTGCCCAGGCCCCCTCAGCCTCACTCTCATCCTTTATACTTGTCACCCTGACCTCCACAGAGCACTCTGAATTGCTGCCTGGTTCCACCGCGCCAGGGGACCCTTTCATAACTGTACCTCTGACCTTTGCAGCCCAGTGTGGAACACTCAGTGGTCCCAGCACTCAAAGTCCCCACACGTGGTCCTCTGGCTTGTGTGCGCCCTGGACCCTCCCACCCACCGTGCTATGTACATGTGTTATCACGTGTATCCTGGCTGTCGCCTCCCTCTCCCAGCCCTGCCTCCCACCTTTCTTACTCCTGTTTCTACTCACGTGGAAGTGAGCTCCTCCCTGAGCACGAGCCCACCCCAGCTCCTTCCCACAGGCCTTTGTGCTGGCTCCTCTGTCCACCGCATACCTTCTGGGCCAACTCCCTCAGGCCCAGTCCTCCTTCCCTTCAGTTCCCAGAGTATCAGCACCTCCCTTTTCTGCTGACCACTAGCTGCCCCATGCCGCCCCGCAGCCTCTCCCGGGCCCTCAGAAGGACAGGAGCTGTGCCTTGCTCATGGAAGGCCCTCATTTGTGTCCCCAAGTCAGAATGCAGTGTGGCGTAAGGAGTCACAGGAAGGTGGGCCTTCTCGTGACAGAGACAGACAGTGTGTCCTTCCTCCTCACGGATCTTAGCTTCTGCCAGGGACTCCTTCCTTTAGAAATGTGCCATTGTATAAAATTAGAAGAAAAGATGATTTATTATTTCTAAGACAGTATACTTAATTCATAGTATTAACATATTCATCTTTATAAACATCAATTTTAAAGTATAATTTCTAAAATTAAAGTACAATACATGTACATTTTATATACACTTATTTGTTTATTTATAGGAGGTTTTTGGTACCCGGAGTTGAACTCAGGACCTTAGCCTGCCAAGCAGGCGCTGTGCTGCTGAGCTATGCACCTGATCCTTAAATACTTTTAAATATATGTATAATTTTTTTAATGGAGGAAGGGGCCCATGAAGGCAAAAGTCCCTAAAATCCTCAAAAGTCATGAGGTAGCCTGGGCTTTGACTATGATTGGAGTGCAGTTTTGTTAGCAAAAACATCCTTTGACTCCTGCAGTTGTAACAAGCTGCAGAGTGGCTTGGAACTCCCCGCATGCTCAGTGTCTGAAGCAAGCAGAAGATAAGACACACTTTCCTTTACCGGTCCTGAGAGAGAAAGGCATTGAGTCTAGTTGCTTCACAGACCTCCTCCCCTTTTCCATTACAGGCTAGTATGTTTCGACATTTTTCGTTCTCTTCTTCCCTTTCTTCATAAAGCAATGTGTTTGATGATGACTTTGGTTCTTTGAGCACTAGCCAGCCAGAGAATTGCGGGGGAAGGAGAAGGGCATGGGAAGGTGTGAGAGTTGCCTATGGACATCTCACCAAAGTGAGTTAGACATCTGTGGGAGTAGTGGAGGAGTCACGTTAGCAGGCCTGGGCTGTTAGACGTGGACACTTCATAAGTTGTTGGAAATACAGAAATAAAACTAAGAACAGCCAACAAGGAATGGGCTAGTAGTTTTATTTTCCCAAAGTGGTACCTGTGTTAGTTCTGGGGAAATGTGAACAGATGAGATGTCCCTCTCAGAAGTCCGCCAGGGACTGAGGCTCAGGAATGACATGCTGGAGCACCTCTCAGGTCCTTAGCTCTGGTGTCCCGTTCCAATGTGGTCCTAAGGGAGGTGAGGCAGGGTCAGAGGCCCCCATAGAGAAGGAAAACGAGAGGGACAACAAGCAGACATGGAGCTGGCTGTTTGCCCTGGAGAGCAGGAGGCTGTAGAAAACCCCAATCAAGCTGTCATCACCCAACTCCCTGGCTGCGTGTGAGACTCAGCCAGGGAGCTCGGAAACCAGCACTGCAAGGGCTGCACCCCACCCCAAGCCCAGGGGCTGGGCTTCAGTATTTGTTTCTAGCAGCTGCCCAGAGAGGAGTGGGGACCACACTGTTGGTCTTGAGTGGCAGAAGCTGCCCGCCTGCTCCTCTAAAGATGAGGCCACGTCCAGCCCCTGACTGCAGGACCTTCAGAGTAGCTCTGTGCAGCAGGGCGGTGAGCAAGATGCCTTGAGAGGTGGAGGCAGTCCTAAACTGGGGAAGAACTGGGCTAACACGAAGGGTTTGGACTCACTCCTGTTGGGTTTGGCTCCAGCCCTACTTGTCTGCTGGGAGAGCCTTGCTCTGGGTAGCGTCCACGTTAGATGACTGACATCTTACCCAAAGCAGGGGCACTGGGACTCCTCACGCCCTTGAGGTCATTTTGCATCGCTCCACCATCTCACTGCCCCTGAGGGTGTTCCAAATGAAGGCGAGTCTCCTGTCATTCAGATTGGGCGTGTCCCTCTCTGTGCACCCACCGGTCCCCAGCAAGATCATTTGGCTCTGTGAGCCAGCGGTCAAGAGTGGAAGCAAGCAGTCTTGTCCACACTGTGCCTGGGTGCCCACTAGCCGAGCTCTGAGGGGCGAGTGGGAAAAGCCCAGCCCCTCTGCTCAATTGCAGCAGACGGGCTGACAGAAGCTCTGTGACCTGCCTGTGCTGGCACCCACACCGGAGGGAGCTGGGCAGGTGGGGCAGCTTTGGGGTTGGGAGCTGCAGGTGGTGAAAGAGGAGAGGAATACAGTTTTGGGGGGCTGGTTGGAGAGGGATGATAACATTGCAGGGTGAGAGGAGGCAGGAGCTGAGGCTGGGGAGTAAGGCAGAGGCCGGGTGCTTGTTGAATCAAACAACTAGAGTGTTTCAAGTCCCTGCGCACAGCTACCACCTGGGTGCTCTCTCCAACGCCAGCTAAGCCTCATCCCGTGGTGCTTCCAGGAGGAGGTCTCCTCTTAACAGATGGGCGAAACTGAGCATTGGAGGTGAAGTTGTTCTGCCCGGGGTCTCCCAGCTAGACAGGTTGGAGCATTGTTCTGCTCTGTGTCCCTGTTACCATCCTCCGCACCTTGCCACAGTGTCAGGGCCAGTTGTACAGTGCACACGAGGCAGCCTGTGCTCCCTGAGCTCTCAGCCAGCAGGAGGAGGCAGGGCTGGCCCACGGGGCTTCCAGGTCCAGTGATGACTTTGTCAGGTTGCATCACTTCTCACCTTGACCTCTGGCCAAATGGAAAGCTCAGCCCCTGACAGGGGAGGGACAGCAGCTGGTGTGTGACCCTGGAGCCAGAGACCTGCCAGTGGGACTTCAGAATAACTACCTTGATATAATTTAAAAATTGTAGGAATTTTGCAATGATAGAACAAGGAATTTTTGTATCCTTTTAACTTGAAACTCACCTTTACATTTTATTCTATTGTTTTTCATTCTCTATGTCCATATTAATATATTTGCATTTAGATAGATGGAGTCTATGTTAAAGAGACAGTACCTTTGATTCCTAAATCATTGTATGTCTCCTAAGAATAGAACCACAATGCAGTTATTGAAATCAGGCACTCCGATATTGAACTAATGCCATTATCTGCTAAGTCCAGGCTCAGGCTACTCTCTGTTTTTGTCAGTGGGGTAAATAATGACCTTTTTCATACTGTTTGTGGAAATTGAATACCCACAGTCCTGGAACATTTTATTTACCCAGAGTGGGTCCTCTCCTTTCCTGGAGTCAGAACGGGGAGATACGCACAGGCTCAGAAGAACACCCAGACTCCCCAGCCTGAGTCAAGGAAGGCATAGGAATTCAGGAACCTCTGGAGTATGACCTGTACTGGGGCAACACTCAGGCCGAGAGGATACCAAGGCAGCCACGGGGCCAAAAAGCAGAGGACACACTGGCCATGGCAACACACATTTGTAATCGTAGCATTGTGGGAGACTGAGGCAGGAGAATTACAAGCAGGAGGACAATTTAGAGACTTAGCAAGATCCTGTCACAAGATAAAAAATAAAAGGAGCTGGGAATGTAGCTGAGCGCAAAGGCTGGGTTCAATCCCCAGTACCACCACCACCCCAGCAAAAAAGCGTTAGACAAAAGTCTTGGTTCTCCCACTAATTAAATATGTGGCCTTGATTAAAGTCCTCTGTCCCTCTGGACCATGATTTCCTCAGCTGTCCAGACATTTCCCTGGCTGACCCCGGGCCTTGTCCAGCAGTCAGAAAAGTTTTCTGTGGCACCATTCAGGGGAGGCCCGCTGACTCTCCTTCCTAGCTGTCACCTGTTGTCCTAAGAAGTCCTGAACTGCAGTGGGCACCTGAGGTTATATCTGGGGGTTTCGTAAGAAGTCTTGTGTGAAGAAGGATAAGCCTGTGTGTAGGACAGATTAAGGGGATTTAAGAAATGGCTTTAGAAGTAGAATCAAAGCAGAGTATGGTGGCTCACACCTGTAATCCCAGCACTCTGGGAGGCTGAAGCAGGAGAATAGCAATTTTGAGCCTACAGTGGGCAACTTAGTGAGACCCTGGCTCAAAATGAAATAGGGCTGGACATATGGTTCAGCACAAAAGCCCTGGATTAAATCCCAATTGGGGGGGGGGTAGGGGGGAGACGGGGTTGGGAGTGGAGCTCAGTGGTAGAGGATATCCCAGCACATGCAAGGTTGTGCGTTCTCTCCCAGGACCCAGAAAAGAATAGAAAATACAGGTGAAGGGATACCAGCTTGATAACAGACTCAGGGACTACTCTTATCCGGCTATATATGCTGATGGTCTTCAAATTACCATATCCACAGCGAACTTTTACAATTTGAGCAGCCTGCCCCGAGTAGATCATGATAAGTATTTGGCTTTTAGTCAGTGCATGAGTTCCCTTGCTTTAAGAGTCCCTGCCCATTATGTTCTATGCTGTAGGGACAATGTAGGTATAGCACCCCTGGAATTCCATGCCTGGCCTTGAGTTCAACTCTAATGCCAGGCACATTGGCCTGTCCCAGGCACTGTGCTGGATGGACCATC